TGCTGTCATGGAAGGAAGGGGTGATTTCCCCCATTTACAAAGGGGGATCTCGCAGCGATCCCGCCAACTACCGCCCTGTTACACTTCTTCCCATATTGTCGAAAGTCATGGAAGCTATTGTGGCAGATACGTTGATGGAATATCCGGAGAAGCATGAGCTTTTGTCTCCAACTCAGTACGGATTCCGGCACAAGCGGAGCGTGTTGTCCACAAAAACATCACAGAAAGGCCTCCGTCACCCAAAACAAATACGGCTGAAAAGAAAGAATGTTCTTGCTGTTTCTATTCCAGGCAGTGATCTATTAAGAAGACGATTGGGTACAGCAATCGGATAAATTTAACCAGTCTCCACTCGGTGTGCAACGTTTCGAAACAATCCAAAACTCTGCACACACCTTAGAGAATAGATGTCTGTCCTCTCCTCACCCAGGATAACGCATTCCTTAACTTGTATATATTTGGCAAGTTATGTAAGTCGAACGAAGACAGTGATCACACGGGGTTAGAGCACATAAATCGACCTGACGAAGCACGGAGTAAGAGAAAGCGATTGTGATCCATCTCTTTTTTATAACCCATCCTTGTGTGATGAACAGCAGTTGTGGAAAACTTCATAGTTAAGAGGCTATTTTTCAGTCAGTCAGGAAAACCGAAAAAGATGCCAAAAATAAACCCCATCGCTAATTAAATTACGTCTGGCACCGCCAATTGGTGACGACAAAAGTATACCCCACCAAAATCCTAAATCCACCAAAATGCAGACAGAAGAACCTGACGGCTGCACCGTAATTGCTCTGGCCTTGCCCCGACATCAGTGACAAACCGAGCCATGATCCCAATCAATCCATGATGACGTAACATAGTGTGACACGCTAACAGACAAAACATGTCATCGAAAACTTTCAGATGTTACATTGAATCCCCTAACCTATCCTGCCCCCCCCCATCCATGTACTCCTCTGAAACCTGACAGCCGATGTTGTCCTCGCATATATCGTAATGAATTAATCAAGTTCCTTTTTACCTCATATATGACCACACAGCACGTGCCCAAAGATGGAGCTACGAAAACAAGCTTGTTCTCTATTGTATTTGTCAATCGAAACCCCAATCTGTCAGATAGTGAATCACGGTGTGGAATCGCAATCCCAAGTTTATCAATGACACGCTGTTCGAAGAGTAAAATGTATAATGAATCACTTTCCCCGAATAGACTACTAATTTAGTGGTTCAATTGCATTCACCTTAAAAAACCATTACCACAGCATCCAGGTTGGATTTACGTAGTTTTTGCTGCTAGTCAAGTAGCCATTCAAAAACTCTCCAAATCCTGGTCGTGCGGTCGTGGTCTGTTCGCAGCTGCTAGTTTGTTGTTGCAGCAAACCGTAACTTATTAGCGATTCATTGAAGGACGAACCTAGTAACACACGACTCCGTTTGATCCCGGTCGATGATCTACTATGATTATCAGACAGCCGAATTCAGAGCCATCGATCTCGTTCTGAAGTGATTCATCAGCATCACCATCATCGTACAGCGAAATACAGTGAAGCGAACTTCTCTGATCACTGCGAAACCCACACAATCCAACTGTGTATAAATACCGTTTCAAGCGTTTTGGCCTGATAAGAAATAACAACAAGCACAC